ATGATGATGATGATGATGATGATGATTAGTATCTTAAAAACACATTTTAGATCACATGGAAGTCTCAATGCTTTTTACAGTCCTTTTACATAAAAGCCCTAATTAAAAATCCCTAATTTGAGAAAGCTCTCTTAAAAAAAGTTTTTAATCTTGATTTAAAACAGTCTATAATGGAATACTGTTTAATGACATTTGGCAAGTCGTTCATTTGAATGAACGAACACTAGGGCTTCAAATACTGACTCGGACTTACACTTTAGAAGCATAATAAACAGTAACCACATGGAATTACTGTTAAGTAGATTTTATTTGAATGTTTTGAAACTATTTTCTTATCTTATCCTCGTTTAGGTTTGCTTCGCCTACAAAGGCCCAATAAAAGAAGTAGTGAAACTTCAAGTGAAATACATAGACGACTATGGCGAATTTCGATATTCTCATCGTTGGTATGACTTCGTGAGAGGCTCTTCACAACTTTCAAACTGGGGGTTTACCTGCATAGATGTGTGGCCTAAAATCAGCGATGAATTTCAAATCCAAGCCCCGTTTGTTGAAATATACTGTATCGAAATTGAGCGCTTGGAGGGATTCGACGAAGACGTGTTTGTGGATAATGTGTGGATCGGAAAGTACGATTTAACTGGTAAGCAAATGTTCTCGGTAAAGCTTCGAAAGTAACGAAGCCCTTAAGTTTAGATATAAAATTTTATGACTGTTGTAAATTGCTGAAGTAACAGCCCTTCTAAAGCAGTGAGTAATGACCTCAAACGTAGCTTTAAAAGTTGAAAGAGAGAGTAAAGTGCCTTGCCCAAGAGCCCAACTCAATGACCCCGGTCAGGGCTCGAACTAGGACCGCTCAAAACAGAATGCTGTGTGCCAGTCACTTGGCTACAGCGCCTCCAAACATATCTTTAATTGTAAGAAAATAACGGTGAGAAAATAGTAGATACAAAGAACAGTGCATCAATCATTTTATCGAGACGTTAAGTCTTTTCAACACCTTCCATCCATTTGATCCGTACATTGTTGTAATGCACTATATATACACACAAAACAAGTTATGGTTATATTCACCTTTTTGTGTAACGATGTTCTACATCTTTGCGTTTTTGACCCATGTATGTTACCCGTTTTATTTACCTGGAAAAGACCCTAAAAAAGAGCGAGGTCCCCCGGCAAAAAAAAAAACCTATAGTCTATGTAAAAGCAATGTTTCCCGTGTAGTTTTGATTCTTCGCAAGGGAAAGATGGGTTTATATCCGGTAACATTTATTTTAAAAGCGTAACATTCAAATATGATAGGATAACATTTTAATATTTTGCATTTTCAGTAATACCTATTAAAAACGCCGCCAAGCCAAACGGCTTTCTCATCAAAGATTTTACAGTTGAAAAGAACTCGGACACAAACTGGACCATCTCTCTCCTCCCTGCAAACTGTGGCTCCCCCCTACCATTGCTTGCTATTACAGACGCCATCCGCGATGGAAATGGCGATGCCGACAGTGCCACATATACTAAAGATGGTCTTAACTCGAGTGTACAAGTGAAGAGAGAACAAGAAGCTTCCCCTCCCATCGAAGGAACATTTGACATTATATACAATGGAGTTATAATCACAGGTGGGTATTTTAAAAGTATTTGTAGAAGGACCTATATGTAGGTAATTGTCCGTGGATGAGGCCAAGGTGGTGGATATTTACCTAGTTTTATTATTTTCGGGGGGCGTAGGGTACCGGGGTGGGTGTTTGTAGATCGACGCGAGGTTCATTAACGCGTGGAAAGCGAGACCAACAACCATCTTAGCTGAGCAGGCTTGCTTAAAAAAGTTTTATGTGGCAAAAAGAATACCATTTTCTAAAGGGAGTGGTCTCGACACGAACACGTAAGCACCAGTGTGCGCTCGAGTATTCAGGCTTTCCTCAACTAAATATGTAAGACAGCGTTTGATTCCTGACTCTTGTTTCCCAAACGACGCCCTGTTTAGTCTCTTTATATGGCGTGTAGGGAAAGTAAGTTTTGAGACGTTCATGCTGTTGACGGGAAGGACGTTGTGTGGTTTGTAGCTTGCATCGGCAGCTTGACGTATACCAAAATGCCATCACATTCCAACATATCGCGTCTTGTTCTTTGCAGTTTAAGCAAATTGCAAAGGCATACAGAAGGTTAGCCGATCTTGACAACCATCACGATAACCATCTGATCCATGTCTTTAAGTGCGCGTAAACGTAGCACATTGCACTTATTGTTTTTACTTACGTGTACTCGTGATATTTAAGGCATTCCTGTGAACATATCTGCGATAAGGCTTAAAGATCTCGTGGAGCAAGAAATCCAGGAAGGTATAATTGATGTCGAGAAAACTGGTCACTGTGCAAAGTACGAATGGAAGTTCACATGGACGAGCCATGGAGGTAACCATCCTGAAATGCAGGTGAATGCTAGCAGTCTGAGTGGTGTTGACGTGGTTACGGTAGTCAAAACTATTGAAGATGGCGGTTTATTCTTGGATCCTATTCCTGGAGAATTTCTACGAATACCGGCCGCCCAGCCACAAGTGAGTGGTTTACACAAAATGATTTTAAATATTACCAACCCCTCCACCTCCCCTTCGCCTCTTCTTCTTCATCCCCTTTGACCTCTTCTTTTTGGCCACTTAGGCCCTTGGCCCCTTAAGCCCTTGGCCCATTAAGCCCTTGGCCCCTTCCCTACGCCCCAAGCCCCTTTATTTCGCCCCTAGCCCCTTCATGTTGCCCCTAGCCCCTTCCCTTCGCCCTTTAGCCCCTCATGTTGCCCCCTAACCCCTTTATTTCGCCCCTAGGCCCTTCATGTTGCCCCCTAGCCCCTTCCCTTCGCCCCCTAGCCCCTCATGCTGCCCCTAGCCCCTTCATTTCGCCTCCTAGCCCCTTCATGTCGCTTCCTAGCTCCTTACCTTCGCCCACTGTCCCCTTCGCCGCTTTCGTCAATTCAGTAACTCATTTATATTTTTTATATTTTTTTTCTCAGGTCGTAGTGTTCGTGAACGAAATCCCCGGATCATGTCGTCATGGCAACAATTGCACATTTGAATATTCAGCAGAAAAGACGCCCAACCTGACCTCCATCTCACCCTCGTCTGGTCCTGGCGGGCCCTCCGGCATTGGAACAGTGATCACTCTTCTTGGCTCAGGATTTTCCACAGTAAATGAAGAGAATTCGGTGCAAATAGGGGGGACTACCTGTGTGGTCTTAAGGAGCACTGCTGACAACATAACTTGTCGAGCAGGTAAACTTTTTCTTGTCTTGTCCTACCTTCGGGCTAGGATCGATTTATTACATAGCTGTTGTAGAGAAACCCCTCCCCTCACCCTTCCCCCTCTCCCTCGCCCATCCCCCTCCCCCCTCCCTAGTTCAAGTAAGTTCCCTGGGCCAATGCAATAGCTTCTTCCTTTGTGAAAGTAAGTTTCTTTTTGCTTTGATTTGCAAAGTAAAACCAAACCCAACCGCCACTCTCCTTGCACGCGTCTTCTCGCGTTTTGCTAAGCTTGTATGTTTCTAATTCGAATTCTGATTTGTTCGTTAGTTTCTTTGCGCTTGTCGTGATTGGTCAATCGCTCAACCTGTTTGGTTTTGTGTTTGATTTTTGTTCTTTTCGTTTCAGGTTACGGTCCTGGTGGTAGTCACCTGGTCGAGATTCTCGTAAAAGGCAAAGGTTGGGCTGAAAATGATCAACAAATCAACTTCACTTATGTCATCGCTGCTACCTCAGTTACTCCAGCCAGCGGTAGCTTGGCTGGCGGACAGACAATTACCATTTCCGGCAGCGGCTTTGGAAACACGAAGGAAAATGCCAATGTGTCGTTAGATGGTTCTCCTTGTGACATTATATCCATTAGTATGTCCCACATCACCTGCGTAACGGCTGCACATGCTGAGGGAAATGTTTCTATAGAAATCTCAATCGGTGAATCTTCGGTCACTATTTCCGATGCGTTTGAATACGATTCCTCGTTGACAATTTCAGTCACCAGTTTGAGTCCGCAGCAAGGCAGTGTCAGCGGTGGTGAAATAATTACAATTTTCGGTTCCGGTTTTATGGATACTACTACGGTGCAAGTGGGAGATAAAAACTGTGAAATACAAAGCGTCACTGCAATAGAAATCACTTGCGTGACATCACGTCACGCTCCTGGAGAATATCTTATCCTGGTGGTCACGCCGGGGAAAGGTTTTGCCAAAATACCTGAAGAGTATAGCAAATTCGAATACGTACTGGTGGTGCATTCCATCTTTCCTCTGATTGGCTCAGTAGCAGGCGGGACGCGCGTGGTTATCACTGGACAAGGGTTTGGGTCTGATGCGTCACGCGCTGTTGTCACGGTACAAGACAGGCTCTGTCAAATTACGTCATTCAATGATACACACGTGATATGTGAAACGGGGGACATGTTTCAAACTATAATGGTTGATAACAGTGGATCACACCTAGGTTAGTTTGATGTTGTCCTTTTTTAGCATTGAGCTTTGTCTGTAGGTAATGTGGCATCAAGTTGAAGCACAAATAAATGTTTTCCTGTATGAAATACAATTGAGGATTTTATGCATTTGCCAGGAGATATGCATGTTATTTTTGAGTGCAGAACAATATCGCACAAGTGAAGCGTTTGAGCGATATTTAAGAAAGTAGCGGAGAGGGTTTATGATTAGAATTTATCTGTTTACATATTTATTTGTTCGTTTGCTTATTTATCTACCTGTTTATTTGTCAGAGTATGGGCGTGGCTATGAATGGTTACCAAAGTTCGTTGTTTGTCACCAAGGCGACACTGTCGAGGTATGTTTGTCAGCTAAGACCTTATTATGTGTCTCGATCACGTTTAATGTTGACACTTGAAGGAGAGCACAACGTTTTCATGCGAATACTCAAGTGCCAATTAACAACTTACAAGTCTATCTATTTCAAATAAAAAGCCACATGAATAGCAGTTGTATTTTAGGCCGAAAAATCTTCGTCTTTTATTTCAATTTTTTTCTCTTTTGAACGCAGTGGCACTGGACTGGACAGGAACTATCTGACGCATTCTACAACGTGTATCAGACCAGCGATTCATCGTCAGTTGATTACGATCTTTTCGGATTTCACAGTGGTGGTGTCAGTAAGACTGGAGTCTTCACACACAGGTGAGTCAACGTCATACAGTCTGCCGTTAGCTACCGTAATGAGATAGCATTTTGCCCTGATGTTAGGAATCTGGGCCAAGATGTTCAAAAACTTGTTAACGCTGATCCAGGGTTAAAAGTTACCCGAAGTATTAATTTTTCTGGTATAAAAATGCTTTTCACAACTTATGTTTTGTGTCACTTGAGATAAATTCAAACACAAAACTGAAGGACAAACAATATAAACAAAAAACCTCACCGAAAAGTTACGTAACTGAAATCAAAATTCTTGCTAATTCTGGTTCAGTTGTCTTAATTACGGACAAAACTTTTCTCCAAACATTTTGCACACATTTTTAATCATTACTATTGGGTGAATTTATTTTTCATTAATAGCCTTTTTTCCCTTTGAAAAGGTCGAGAGAAGTCGTTATTTAACGACCATAGTTCCATAGTGCCGCGTGACTTTCGTTGCGTGACATCAAGCTGTCATGAAATTGTTATCACGGAGATGTTCAATAAGGAGTATTTGTTGAAATCTTCTGCAGGTTCTTGAGCCCAGGAGTGTTCTACTACGCCGGTAGCGGATCGGTTCGAATGAAAGGCGTGATCAAGGTGCTGTCATTTAGAACGCAGAGCGGACCAATCAGTCTTAACATTGACGGTGAGGCACAAATTGTTCATTTTATATGAAGTACAAACCAGTGAAGTAAGTTGAACAGGTTTCAGTAATTCTTCAAACAAAGACTTCGGTGAAATTTCCACAAAAATGCTTTGTTTCCTAACAAGTTTATTTAATGCTTGCATTATTTGCTTTTTGTTCTTTTTGTTGTTATTGTTGTGTTTTGTTTGTTTAGCTCCCTCATTTAGCACAACAGTACTACAAAATGTAGCATTTACTAATCTATTTTATTTATTTCATTCTTGTTTGCAAAAAAAGTGAAGCAAATTGTCTGGAAATGTTTAATAGTTTAACATAACCACAATTTTGTTAATTGTTTTAGGATTTGAAGCAAATTACAATGCAACCTCGTCACCATACTCCTCTCCAACGTGTGAGGCCGGGAGGACGGATGGTATTCCTGGGTGCAACTCTTCACATGAAGCCCAGAGTTCAAACAGTGACAGCTTTGATTTTACCTACTCGGAATGTAGCACGCCTAAAGTATCAGCTGTAACACCTCCTCAAGGCACAAGCGACACGATAATTACAGTCCACGGGCATGGATTTAGTAACGAGTCGTGCCACAATAAAGTGACGTTCAGCTCGCACGAGTGCGAGGTAATCTCTTCTAATGACACAGCAATCACTTGTGTACTCAGTACAGCGGAATATCCCATTGCTGGCGAAGCACTTGATGTCAAAGTGAAGGTACTAAACCGAGGCTACGCATTTGTCCGGGCAGACGCAGGTGACACAACTGACTTCGTGTTGAAACCGAGCGTAATTGCCGTGTCACCGAGCAGCGGTTCCCAAGCGGGCGGCACGTTGGTGACAATAACAGGCGACGGTTTTAGTAACGCAATCAGTAACAATGTCGTTCAAATAGGTTCTACTGTGTGCGATGTCGAAAGTTCGTCATTCGACACCATAGTTTGCAGAACACGAGCAAGCGCTGAACAAGCTCAGCAAGTCATTGTAACAGTCAGTGGTAGTGAAAGCGAGTGCGTTGCCTTTGACAGCACGGACTGCAAATACACCTTCGCACTTGACAGGACGCCGGTAGTAACGTTAGTGTCTCCAGCTGATATTGAAAATCCTCAGACGGAATTTCGCTTCCAAGTGTCACGCCTTCCATCCAGTGCTGCAGACGTGACAGTAACAGTGGGAAATGAAGTCTGCCACGTGACAGAGGTCTTGTCGCAATTAGTCAAATGTATGCTGCCGGGAGCCGTCATTGGCAGTCACAAGATTGTGATTCACGTGGCGGGAAAAGGAAACGCCCAGTTTGATTCTGTGTCAGACGTCGTGGATAGTGAGCCTTTAGTCTCCACAGTATCGCCGTCTCAAAGTAGCAAACATGGAGGCTTGATCATTACTATAGAAGGAAATGGTTTCAATCCGACTCCAGGCAAAACTACCGTGACCATCGGAAGCGAGATTTGTGAAATAATCACGATCTCGTATGGGCTGATTGAATGCGTGACACCACCACACCCGTTAAGTAACGCAGTCGTCATACAAGTCACTGTTGATTCTGGTGAAGTTTCACGGCGACGTAGAAATGCTGGTGGTGTATTTCCAACAATCAATATAGCGTACACCCAGGCCGCGACTCCGGTTGTAACGTCAATTTCACCAACAATAGGACAAGGCGGTGAAGTGTTAACCATACACGGAAGCGGTTTAGATCCTACTACACAAGATGAAGTGGAGGTTCAGATTGGAGACGTGTCATGCGCGGTAACCAGCTCGGAGGACGACAATGTGGTGTGTACACTGGCTGCACATGCTGCTGGCTCATACCTTGTTGACGTGGTGGTTCCCGGGAAAGGTAGGGCTACATCTGATGAATTCTTTGAATACAGATTACAAATAGATGGCGTGGATCCCGATCAGAGTGGCTTTGGAGGAGGCCGCGTGCTTATCATTCAAGGTCAGGGCTTTGATGAGTCTGCAGAGTTGACCATTTGTGGCAATGAGTGCACCCATAATTCAGATCACCTCACTACAACTACAGAAATATCTTGTGAAGCACCAAGTCATGCGCCAGGAAACATTGACCAAGTGTGCGATATTGAGATCATCTTGAACGGTTTCAGCGCTACTCTAAGCAACGGCTTTACTTACAAACCCGAAATGACCTCCCAAATAACTTCCGTCACACCATCCCGAGGCGGGACGGGTGGGGGCACAACCCTCACGATACTTGGCACAGGATTTAGTGACACACAGAGCGACAATATCGTTACAATAGACGGCGTTGAATGTAACGTTACTTATGCCAATTCATCGCTGATTACGTGCCAGACTGGTCCACATAACGGGACAATCGAAACTAAAGTGCGAGTGGAAGTTGGAAGCAATGGAAAGGCGATAGATGATGAAGCTGATTTTTTCTACGTGGATGTATGGTCATCTCCGTTTACGTGGGGTGGTAATGATCCTCCTGAGAATGGTATGTATTATTCAATACACAGTTTTCAGCTAGTAATTTTACCCTACACGAATACGTTTATGTCTGTAAATCAATGTTCTGTTTAATTTATCAGTGTTAGATGAACTCTCAGCTCATTATAGCGTTGTCTTTCAAACAGGCTTTGATAATTTACCCTCATTGTTGATGTTCTTTAGAAAACGCAGAATTTGGTCTTTTCACGTCGTTACTGTTTTGCAAAGGGCCAAGACTCGTACACCATTTTGCTAATGGCCAATTCCATCCACGAGACGCGCTTGCAAGGAATCATGGTAGTTGTATTCATCAAAACAAATATCCAGTCCAAGATGATGAATACAACTACCATGATTCCTTGCAAGCGCATCTTACAGAGGGAATTGGCCATTGCCCTCCTCATTTGACCTTTTGTTACTGTTGCTGTCACGGTTTTCGTACGTAAACTCCCTATTGTGAGTCAACTATTACGAGATCCTACCCCCCTCCTCCTTCCCAAAGAAAATTTACACAGTTACGACAGTGCCTTACGAGGTTATTTGTTTTGTAACTCACAGGTACCTTCGTGGTTATAAAGAAAGGACAAACTATATTGCTTGATCAAGACACGCCAGTACTTAAATTACTCCTAATACAGGGAGGACAGCTCATATTTGACAGGAAAGAGCCTTTTCTTCATCTACAAGCAGAAAACATACTTATCACCGACAATGGTGTACTTGAAGTTGGTACCGAAAATGACCCGTTCCCAGGAAAGGCCACGATCACTTTGCACGGCCATGTTCGATCGAGAGAAATTCCAGTGTTTGGAACCAAGACGTTAGCGCTTCGCGAGGGAAGGCTCGATCTTCACGGTTTACACGTGCCCATCACGTGGACGCATCTGAATTCCACGGTAGAAGCGGGTGCAACTCAGCTCCACTTGATGAAACAGGTCACGTGGAAACCAGGTGATCAGATTATTCTGGCACCAACTGGAAAATCACAGCGAGAGTTTGAAGAGCTGACGATAACAGCCGTTCTCAATGATAATTACACGTTACAAGTGTCACCGGCACTAAAGTATAAGCACATCTCCATCGTGCAGACGTTTCAAGGAAATCACGCAGTGGAAACGCGCGCGGAAGTTGGTCTACTCACGCGGAACGTGCGTGTGCGAGGCTCCGTACATTCCGAGTGGACGGAGACAATTGAAGCTTGCGAGAAAGAATTTGAACCAGGTCAATTCCAAACACAGACCTGCTTTCAAGGAAAATTTGGCGAAGAGATTGGAAGCGATGGATTTGGTGTGCAGATTATGATACATGCCCCTGAAGAAAGTAAAGGCTTGGTAACAGCAAGGTTCGATTACGTGGAGATCTCGCACGCAGGGCAAGCATTCCGTCTTGGTCGCTATCCAATTCATTTTCATCTCAGTGGTGATGTTTATGGCTCGTATGTTCGCGGCTGTGCAATACATCACAGCTTCAATCGAGCCATAACAATGCACGGTATACACAGACTTAATGTAAGCCACAACGTTGTGTTCAACGTCCGCGGAAATGCGTTCTTCATGGAGGACGGCATTGAAACTGGTAACATAGTCGAGTACAACCTGGGGATATTCGTCATCGCTTCGTCGTCGGCGCTGAACGTGGATATAACTCCGGCTACCTTCTGGGTAACAAACGCTAACAACACCGTGCGTCACAACGCCGCTGCAGGGGGCAGCCATTTTGGTTTCTGGTATCAAATGTTCGACCGCCCTGATGGCCCGTCGTTTCGATCCGACTACTGTCCCAGGAATGTATTCATGCTTGAATTTTTCAACAACTCTGCGCATTCGTTCGGCCGCTATGGATTGTGGATATTTCCCGTTTACCACCCCCAGCGGGGAGGGGGATGCGACGATTGTATCGCTGAGCCCGCGGTGTTTGGCTCATTCATCGCCTATAACAATATGCGAGGGGCAGAAGCCGTCAAAGTTGGTGCAGTTCAAATGCACAACTTCAAGATGCTGGATAATGACATTGCTGGTATTGAGTACGTTTTTGCTAACGAAGCAGACGTCCCAAGGGGTGGTCCCAGGATTAAAGACGCACTTATCGTCGGTCACAGCCAAGTGAGCGAGGGATTGGAACTGAAAGTAAGCAGCAACACACTTTGCACGACTTCCGGTATAAGACTGCCACAGTTCTCTAAGCTTGTCGTCGAAAATGTCACCTTCGTGAACTTCGACCGGGAAGGCTGCACCGCTTACAGCACTTGTGCACAATGTGCAGAGTTTAAAAAGAGAGGCGGCTGGACTTCACACACTTTGCGAAACCATTTCGTCAACTCTCCACGCCGGACCGCTTTTAGATGGAGTCACGAGGCAGTCATACTCGATCTGGATGGAAGTCTCACTGGTTATGCAAATGGAAGCGTCGTGCCTGACAATGAGAATCTACCGCCCGAGAAATGTACTCCGTCCGTCCAGGACAGCTACGGGCCTCATAATGGAAGTGTCTGTGATTCTAGTGTGCAATTCACGAGATTTGCCTTGAACAACGCCGCCCCAGTATCCTTGCAGGCCAAATACATTTTGTTGACGAACCAGCACGGAATCGATAAGGTCCCTTTCTGCATCAAGTGCGCGACTCATCCGATGGGTTGGGTGATGCTTTTGATTCGGGGAGAAATATACAACATGACATTCGAAGACACATCCCACATAACTAACATCAGCTACACTGGCAAGTTCTATGATATGAGGGAAGGCGATTATGTCTGGATATCCCACCAATTTATGCAAACACCAGATCACTTTGCCACTACTGGCGCTTACCAGAACATGACGGAAGTCGTGCCATCCCGTGATGCTCTTCACGGAAACTGGAGTTTTGTTAACGAGACAAAGATGTTTACGTACATCGCGTCTGGCAAGAACGCGACTCTGACAAAAAATAACAATGTTGAGCCACGTTCTGTCGATCTGGACGTTTACCTCTGTTATTATGAAGACTGCATCACCCCGGTGCCACCCCCTCCCCCGCAAGGAAGACCGGAGGTCTACCGTCGCTGGTCCAGTGTTGATGACTGGGAAGGCACTGAGCCCCTGTATGGTGGTTATGGAAGAAGATTACCTGGCAACGGAAGTGACGTCATGATAATGACAGATTGGTACATGGTAGCCGATACTCGGCTGCCATATTTGAACCAGTTGTTTGTGTACGGCACATTGGAGATCGAGGATAGGGATGGTGAGACCATGGTGTTGAATGCTTCAATTGTCTTCGTCAGCGGCGGTTTGATCGTGGGATGGCCGGACGAGCCTTATCTTTCAAACTTCCTATTAAGCCTTCGAGGTGATCATTACAGTGAGGAGCTGCCCTTGCGAGACGTGAACATGGGAAGCAAGGCACTTGGAGTGTTTGGGTTCCTATGGCTGCACGGGAAACCAAAGCAGGTCTATTGGACTCGATTGGCTGTTACCGCCGAAGCTGGAGATTGTTCACTTATACTTGCTGAACCCGTGGATTGGAGATTTGGCGATGAGATTGTGCTTACTTCAACTACAGTTGCGCCTGAACAGACTGAAAAGTTCTTTATAGTAGCCATTTCACAAGACAAACGAAACTTGACACTGAATGCGTGCCTTCAGTACAAACACACCGTACAAACACACACGATTGGCAACTGGTCATACACCATGGCGGCAGAAGTGGGACTGCTGACCAGAAATATCGTTATAGAAGGTGCGGATAATCCCTCTGGAGCCTGGGACCAGTCGTTTGGATGTCGTGTTCTGATTGGTCGAACAGTATCTGGTGGGATAGAGTACAAGGGTAGCGCCAGAATTGAGAATGTGGAGTTTAATCGTTGCGGTCAGGAAGGCTATACGGATGATTACGACCCCAGGTAAGACACGCGCTCAATGACCAACATTTGTCGAGATGAATAATTGTTTCACTTAAACTCAGTACCATGAAATAACTGTCCCCAAAATTATCGAGATGTGTAATTACATTCTTTTAACATCGTGCCAAAGTAAATCGCGGTTTAAGCATGATCTACGGAATAACACTCTTTCTCCTTTAACGTAAAGCGTGGTTTTAGAACCAAATAAATAATGGTGTGTTAAACGTCTTTGTATCATAAATGATGCCATTTTTTTCACTCGTCAGATTCGCCTTAGCTTTCCTCAATACTGGTGTGGTTGAAGGCAACACGTCTTACGTCCGTGGCAGTTCCTTCCACGATTGTTTCAACACTGGTATCGGTGTGTTTGGAACCGACAATCTGACTGTGGAGGACAACGTTGTACACCACACGGTCGGCCCTTCAATTCGAGTTGCCGGAAAATGTAACAGCGTGTTACGAAACTTGGCAGTGTATTCCATTTCTATCCACACCTACGACGGGAGACAAGAGAAGTCCAACATTCACTGGCCTGGAGCCATCGAAGTACACGAAGCATTCGATGTCATTTTGATCAATAATACAGTAGCTGGAAGCGAACGGTTTGGATACAAGCTTGATGGCGAGAAATGCACAGATTACCCTCTGGGAATTTCCACTGGCAATGAAGTCCACGGTGCTTGGCACGGAGTACATTTGCATTACGTGGAGGGTCTTCCAGGATGTGCTATGCTATACGGCTTCCTCATTTGGAAAAATTACGACTACGGCATCTTCACATACTGTGAGTCCAGTGTTGTCGTAGACCATGTTATTGCCGTGGATAACACCGTGGGAATGTTTCCCAATGTGTGGGGGCCACCTGCTAAATCACACAGGACTGCTGACAAATATTTCATTCTGAGACACTCGCTGATCGTTGGCACAAGTCCTAACTACGACTGCGCAGAAGACAGCATTATACCATATGCCAGAGAACCGTACGGAGGAATTGGGGCGAAGACGGCCCCAGGAGGTACACTCAAGTTGAAATGTTCATTTTTATGTAGACCGTGCAATGTAGCTCCAGAAATGTAACCTTGAACATGTGCATTTTTTTAAGAAAGGTTATGAAGACATTTTGCGCCCAAGAGCTAAAAGATAGTTTTACCTTTAAAGTAATAGCGAATTTCTGTTGTAGATTCGTTTTGTTGTTCACCGACTTAAATAGCGACGAAATTACTCCAGAGGTAGAGAAAAAAAACCCGTTTGTGTGCTCTAGTCACGTTCTTGCTTGTGTTAAAACATCAATGCTCGGTTTTGAATACATATTTAAATGTAAAGCAATGGTTCAATATTATTTTCTTTCAAGAGATGGTTTCACGTTCCGGCGCCTGTACAAGCTATATGTTAGCCCCTTCGATTTCATTGCCTATTTAACAATCGGAGCGAGTAGAGGAAAATTTCCCTTTGAAATGTTTGTAGTCAGTCGCGGATACGTGGTGTAGAGGTGATTTCTCTCAACAGAATCCGTTTGTTAGGCATGTATCAAATGGACGTATTCCGGTGATCTTTGATTTCAAGTAGGCCCCAGTTGTTGGAAGGCTGGATAGCGCTGTACACCAGATAAATCGCTCAGTATTCAGTGGATAAAAAACCACTGCTCCAGACAGGCAGATCATTAAAGAACCGTTATTTTAAGTTTGAATAGATCATGCTCTGAATTTCGGCTCGTCTTTTCTGCTATAGTACATTCCTCAATTTTAAAACCGTCCGTAAATTTAAGAGTCTGACTTCAGTTTTGCTGCTAAGGTAGAATCATTTTGCGAAGCTTGGATTATGTTTAGCTAGATATCCCAGGGTAATGCTTTTAGTTTCAAATAACGTGAACTAAAAACTAAATGTTTTACTTCTTTCACCATTTTATTTTGCTTCAACAGGCGGTAAAATTGGTATCACAATTCCGTCGTTCCAATCATCGCCAGCTGGCGGTCCAAAGATGTCGTGGGAAAGCCCGATGAGTTATCCAGCAATAAATGGCTACACGCTCTTTCACGAGGTGACGTTTTCCGGATTTCAGGAAAAATGCGGGAATAAACATCGAGCGATAATGACTAATTCATGGGTGGGAGACATTCTCCATCCAGTGGACGTGCGAGGTTTGTTATAGGCCAGTTCTGGCCCTCTCTTTGTCACGCAACCCTAGGAAGAGAGGCTCCCTCTCTCTCCCTAGCGTTGCGTGACAGAGATAGGGCCAGTACTGGACTAGATTTGTTAAGAATATACCATTTTATTTACACTTTCAATCGGGTTTCATCCTCTCTATCTCTTTTTCGGCTTCTTGCTGGAGATTTTGCGTTTAGGTTTTCTCTTCCCTACTTGACAATAAACGAGGCAGAGTAATTGACTGACTGACACTAACTGATTCATCTCGTTGTAGGCCTGCATTTCGATTCCGTCGACCAAGTATCCAGACTGCTTTTTCAGCAACCGACGACTCAGTGGATAAACCCGTCAGATTGTGTTGACATGGACTGTGACGCAAGAAGACAGCAGCTCATCCGGGACCTTGATGGCTCATTTACAGGCTCTGTGGGGGGAACAGTCATCTCCAAGGCCGAGTACCAGTGGGATGGAAACAAACGATACGGACTGGGTACGATATGCTGCTTAAATATTACGATGAGGGACGATTTACAATTAGACGGGAAAACTTTGTCGTTTCGTGTCCTCCAAAACTCGCATAAAATTGTTAGCATACAACATTGCTTGAGTTTAAAGTTTGCAGGATTTAGTTGATTTTCAATAACTTACGACATTTTTCGTGTCGTGCGCGCTTGTAGCAAGCAAGTTGTAGGCTTGACTTATACATAAAAGAAAAACTTGTGTCATGCAAAAATCGCATAAAATTTTTAACATACAACATTGCCTAAGGTTACAATTTCCGCAGGGTTCAGTCATGTCTCAAAAACTTACGACATTTTTCGTGTTCTGCGGGATAGTAACAAGCGAGTTGTAGGGTTGACTTACACGAAAAAGAAAACATCGCGTCGGAGACTGCGGACTGTGGCGTAGAGTTGCGTGGCATGCAGCAACGTTTAAGTCGGGTCTAAGATAGACTTTCTGTAAATTTATATTTTTATTCTGCAATGCCCTCATCACCTTGAACTTTAATTTTCAAATTCTTATCTGACGCTTAAGTATCCTTTATTCCTTATGTGGTCTAGGCGACTATCGTATCCCCAAACCTGCTACAACTGCCGTGGATGGTACCCGACTCAACATATCTGTTGTCGCTCCTAATAAGGGCATCGTTCGTGGAACACCTGATCAAAGCCATTGCTCATGGGATGCTGACTGGAACGCGTACCAATGTAGCTCAATAGATTACAGAATGTTAGTTATCGAGAGTCTGGATGATGACACCGAAACACGGCGATTGTCTCCGGTGGCGCTGATCGCAGATGGTTACGTCAACCTGCTGAACGGCCCTCAGGATCACGGCTGGTGTTTGGGTTACACTTGTCAAGAACGCATTTCGACGTTTTACGGAATCGTGGCGACTGCAACGAATTATTCCCTGTATTTCACGAGCAACGAGCCACAGAAACTAAGGTTGCACTTGTTAAACAGCGACCCCACAGATTCGATTCGTGTTGGAATCTTCTACCAAAGACCACAGAGGCAAGATGTGTATAAAAACGGTAAGCTTTATCGTCCTTAGTATTTATCCGAGATTTTCTTAGGTAAAGTCTGCATACGGGCAAAGTAGCCCATCAGGCCGGAGGTTATCCCGGTTTCTGTAGCATGAAGCTTCTAGGAGTATTTCTACTCCCCCTTGGATGGGATGCTAATCCATCGCAAGGTTACCCTCAGCAATAAGTTCGCGGTACCCATTTATACACCTGGGTGGAGAAGAAGCACAGTGAGAGTACAGTGTCTTGACCAAGAACACAACACGCAATGTCCCCGGCCAGGACTCGAACCCGGACCGCTCGAGTGCACTAACGATGAGGCCAATGCGCCGCTCGGGATTTTCTTAGGCATACGCAGAAAAACCAACAGAAATGTCACAAAATTTCAAGTAATGTTCTCTTTATAGCAGTCTATAAAAATCAAATAACCAATGCACTAACATCAATTCTTGACTTTCAGACATATTCATCTTTCCAACAAATGCGGAATTCCAGGGATCAGACTTCACTTTACTTCCCATACCTCCGGGCGCACCCGACGACTACTTTGAGCCACCGCTGTCCAGTAGTGGCGGTGTCAATTATTTTGATCGCGAGCGAGCCACCTTGTTTGTCGTACTGCGCGGTTCAGACCCTGTGGAAATACGAGTAGTGCCCGTTATCCAGGTAATTAGTCGTTTACAGACACCTCCGAGTAAAATAAGTGCAGTTTTTAAACAAGTGTAAAGAAATAATCAGTTTTGCGCCACTACGCCACACGATTAGCGTAAAAAACTCGCGCCAATTTTTCGTTCAATCAGGACTCAAACACAAAACCAATCGCAACTCGCTGGCACAAGTTTTCCCGCGCTTTACGTCAGCTAAATGTATTTATTACGAGTTTTGATTGGTTCATTGGATTACCTGCGTCCTTTAGCATTAGCTAGAGTGATTACTTTGGTTTGGTTTAACGACACTCAATTGAAAACCGCTCTGTACTAAATTAACCATAAATAAAATAAATAAATAAACCTGTGATTAGACCTGAAAAGTTAAAACATAAGTCTTAAAACCGTATTAGCCGTGTAACAACATCATTATGTCCCTTGCAGGTACAACTTGGTATGAGAGCGGTCTCCATCGATGATTTCTTCACAAAGAACCTGGTCAATAATCTGGCTGACCTGCTCGGTATTGATAAGTCGCTTATCAGAGTAGTAGATATTGTCAGCGAGAATAGTAGACGAAGGCGACGCTCATCTGACGATGTGGCGATTATCCAAATTGAGATTGCTGATCCTCCTCTAGCTGCAAACGGCTCTTCATCTTCCAACTACACAGGTATGGAAGTGGGATTTCTCTTTTGTTTTACGCTGGTCGCGGTTATTGTGTCATGATCTTGCACAAGACACTTACTCTAACAGAGTCTCTCACAACACGAGAATATTAAAGGTGTTGTCATTATTTCGAAATGTTTTTCATCAAAGAACTCAAACGAACACTGAACAAACGGTGTGATTCAATTCGCGCTAAATTATTTGTTTAGATCAGTTCTTTAATCTCATTGGTATTGTTTTATTGTTTCATTGTCTCATTATTTTAGGTCCCTTTTTAACTTCGTAAATATTTTTTCACTTATTTTACATATTTCATTGCATTCCACCGTTTGTGAAATTTTAACTATTTTTTACTGTTAAAAACACATTTATGCTACTTTTGTAATTTTCACTCGCCCTTGAAACGGCTTCAGAGAGGTCGAAACGCCATGACTTTTTTTCGTTAGTTCTTGTTACAAAATACTGAAAAATTCCTGTAGTAACCCGCACAAATACAGCGGGGTGAAAGGGGGGGTGGAATTTGTGATGGAGTTGCACCTAGTCTAGGAGGGTGTGGCAATACTCGGCGACGGTTTGTGCCACAGATACTGTACTATAGTTAATCACCTGGCTTTTTGACTTTTAGGTTCCGAAAAGAACTAACTTATTTTCCTGTGTGTGGTATCAATATACCTACCGCGTTATGCGTTATCTTTTGTTGACTGCAGGTGTCAACGAAACAACATCATTTGACGAGCTTAGCGAAATTGCTGATACATTTGTAGAGAAGGTACAGACGGGAGCTGTCGCTCAGACAGCCGGGGTAGAAATCTTATCACTTCAAATGTCGGACCCAATTCCTCCTCCGGTTGATCCAACCGGTGGCGTCAGAGCAACTAACGAGACTGGTAAGTAATGCCTCGAATGGTTTTCTTCTCGACGATCAGAAAACTCAATATTAAAGTATTAAAACCTCCCATATAGGGACACTCCCTCAATCATGATTTTGCGTTTTTTTTCTGTCTTCTTGCAGTTCAGCCTAACGTAACGGACAACTCTACAAGTCGGTATGACGAGGTTCAGGCCGAGCAGGAGGCTAACGCACCCAGTAATGTGTTCAACTTCCTTATTCCCGCCAGACTGGAGTTAGTGACTGAGCCAAGCGGAGCTAACGAGACCGTACCCTTCACGTCACAGCCAAGGCTTAAACTGATTGACATTGATGGCACTCTGGTGACAACCCTGGGACACGGTTCCCTTACCAACTGGACTGTCACGGCAGTCATCAAGAACGGGTCTGGAGACTCACTTGCGTTACTAGAAGGCAGCGTGAATGTCACGTTAGAGAACGGCTGGGCGAATTTTACCGATCTGAGCATCACGCACAATGCAACTGATTACGAGTTGCTCTTTTACGTTAGCAAACCATTAGCGTCCCATTTTAACGCTACTTCTCAGCCATTTGAAGTCAAAGAAAGGATTATGTACTTCACAGTAACCGATCAACCCAACGACGCGAATGAAACTGTTAGCTTCGGACAACAGCCGAGGATTGAAGTTCGAGATGCCGCTAACGGTGAAATTGTTAACAACACGGGCTGGAAAGGACGCCGGTGGCTTTTTACAGCATCTCTTGCCAATCCAGCGGAAAACGATGGACACCTTAACGGAACTACCCAAGTAGAGTTTGTCAGAGGAGTCGCTCAGTTTACAAACCTCAGCGTAGACATATCCGGTGAGAACTATGTCCTTGCATTGGAGGCAATGACTGATCCGCCTTCAAGGTACGTCTTCAGTGGTAACTCGTCCGCATTTAATGTTTCCGAAAGAGTGCTTTATCTAAAACTGGTTCAACAACCGGGTGATTGCAATGACACGGTGGTCTGTGGCAGCCAGCCGATAGTGGAAATAAGGAATGCCTTCCCAGATTCTTTAGTCGATAACATCGGTTGGAGAGGTAGATCCTGGTTTATAAACGCTACCATGGTCGGTGGAAGTAATTCTGTAGTAAACGGCACCACTTTGTTTGCAGTACAAACCTCGGGGCGTGTAGAATTTCAAGACTTGAATTTCTATGACGTGGCTCAAGGGCATCAGATGGAATTTATTGTCATCACAGAACCTTCCTCTTCCTACTCAAGTTTGTCCGTGACATCCGAGACATTCAATGTAACTGCGCGACAGTTCTACCTCGAAGTCATAACACAACCAGACAGAGCCAACCAGTCGGAAATCTTCGGAGTACCTCCAGTAGTGGAGGTACGAGACTTGGGAACGCGCATGCGTGGACACCCTCTCAAAGGTGATTGGTCAATTGCCTCTTCACTGAAACCTTCAGCTTTAAATGGAACCTTGAGTGGAGTGCTGAACGAGACGGTTGAAGACGAGAGAGTGGAGTTTACAAACTTGTCAATATCTTACTACGGTGTTGGTTATCAACTCGTCTTCGAGTCTAACTATGGTCACGTGGTATGTAGCTCTGTAATTGTAAGGACACATAACAATCAAGTTAGTTACTCAAAAATAGGCTTCTCGGTAACTCGAAAATATGTTCGTAATAACAAGTTAGGATTATGAAAACAGTATCAGCGGTTGTATTTACAACATCCGAAATAATATATTAGTTCGGTAGATTGGACTGAAACGAAATTCAATTTCATCACCTGGAAAAATGATATTACAGCGCCAAGGTAGTTGTTGTCCGTTGTGATTATTTTAAGGGGAAAATTTTTTAGCTTTTGTTGATGTTTAGATGATGATCTCCCTTTTAAGATGACACGTCTTATCCCCATCTGGAACAAAATACTCTCTGATATATTCGTCTATCCGGTTTTATAGTGTAATACTGGGATGCAAAGCAGAAAGATTGTACCACATCAGAGTTGCATTATTACTAAACTGAATCTCTGCTCCTTACTTTGTGCCCGTTTGGTTTTATAGGTTCACTCGCAACCTTTTGAAGTTCGATACGTCAACGACTACTCGCCTGTGTTTGACCCTTCTAATGGCTTGTACAACGCGACCATCTCAGAGGACGCTCCTGTTGGCCAATCCGTTGCCACAGTGATGGCAACTGACAATGATTCTGGTTCTCAAGGTGATGTTTCATACTCCATCGTGACCGGGAACACTGGGAACAAGTTCTATATCAACGCGTCATCGGGTGAGATAACAACGGCTGGAGAGCTTGACCGTGAAACCACTGCCGTGTTCACGTTGACCGTACGCGCGTTCGACGGCGCGGTTCCAGAAAAAGTGCGTTTTACAGACGGGGAGGTTGAAGTTACCATTTCCGATATCAACGACAATGCTCCTTCATTTAACACTCCTTCAATTGTCGCTACCGTTCCAGAGGATGCTGCTATTGGAGACGTCATCATAACGCTTCAAGCTAATGACCCGGATGAGGGCTTGAATAGTGAACTTCGTTATTCCATAAAGAGCGGGAATGACGCAGGACTATTTACTATCAACAACTCGACAGGGGAGGTGAAAGTAAACGCTTCGTACGATCTTGATCAAGAACCAAGAGCCGACTTCGACCATTCTTTAGTCATCTTTGTTGAAGACCTTGGGGTCCCACAGAGCCTTAACACAAGTGTAACGCTCAACATTAGCATTACAGCAGTTAATGAGTTTACTCCGCAGCTTCAGCATGACTCTTCGTTTAACTTCAGCTTTGCTGAAAACGCCGCAGTTGGCGACGGAGTGCTGGTAGTTCAAGTCAATGCTACAGACCAGGATTATGGGGAGCAGGGACGGGTGTCGTTTGTCATTAGTTCAGGTGCGTGTCAATCAAGCACTACCATAGACTTGGTTATAACCTGGTGATATCAATATCAGTTAATTGTATACGGACTAGATGTTAAATATTACAGCGATAGTGACTTAGATTATTACCCACTCACGTTAATCGAACGCTGTTTTAGATTTACAGACAGCTGTGTTATATTAAATCAGCTTACAATTATAATCGAACTACCGTCAGTTTCAATCTTAAAATCTCATGTGGTTCAAGCTTAAAAGGTTATTAGTGCCGGAATTTCCTAGCAGCAGCAGACTGTTTGTTAGAAAGACTGCTTTAAGCTATAGCAAGCGTTCGAACAATGTTCATTGGCTATAAACAGCTGCAACTCCGTATCTTCAGGCTCTGCTTAAAGCGGATCAACGATATTTCAGCTACAGTTTGCCATGCGTTTACACTGGTATATTCTCTCGTCTTCAAGTAAGAGTTGATCAAGATGTTGTAAACTGCTTAAACAACCGGTAAACTGAAACATTACTTTTTGTGTGTTTACAGGTAACGATGAAGGCATGTTTGCCATCAACGCGTCCACCGGAGAACTGAGACTCATGTTCTCGCTCGACTACGAAAACTGCTCATCCTACACCCTAGTGATTCACGCTCGTGATAGCGATGACACGGGAAACGTGAAGTTCGCGATATTCACCGTGTACGTGTCTGTTCTGGACTTGAATGATAACGCGCCTACATTCTCTGAACCTCTTTACGAAGTGGATATTGACGAGGACGCAGCGTTTGGGTCCATTGTGTTCACGTTCTTTGCTCCAGATCCCGACGATGGTTTGAATGGACTCGTTTCATATTCAATAATTTCCAGTAATTACAGCAGTGAGTTTTGGAGTCTAAACTCATCTACCGGGGAACTCACAATTAACGGTAAGAAAAAGGGATAATAATAATAATAATATTAATAATAATAATAATAATAATAATAATAATAATAATAATTTCCTGTAATATATCAAACACGAAAGACCGTTTCTGACCACATTTTCAAACACCGAGAAGAGAGTCGAAAATACGACGCGTAGCGGAGTATTTTTGACGAATTTCGAGATCAGATATCCAAACACCTTTACGGTCATGATTTCCTTTGTTTAAGCTTGATGAATTATGAAAGAGTTTCAGAGGCTTCAGGCAGCATTATCTTATCACGTCAATTATCCTCGAGATAAGGCTAATGAACTTCATTTTTCCCTGTCTACGTGGGAGGCGCGGTGGCCTCATGGTTAGTGCGCTCGATTCCGGGGCGAGTTGTCCGGGTTCGAGCCCTGGCCGGGGACATTGTGTTGTGTCCTTGGGCAAGACACTCACAGTGTCTCTATCCACCCAGGTGTATAAATGGGTACCGGCGAATTTAATGGTGGGGCTAACCCTGCGATAGACTAGCATCCCATACAGGGGGGAGTAGAAATACTCCCGGTCACTTCATGCTACTGAAACCGGGATAAGCTCCGGCCTGATGAGCCACTTGACTCGTATCCAAACTTTACCTACGACTACGATTGAATTGCTTTTGCGTACCTAATAAAAAGATGCGTTTTTCAACTCCGTCATTTGTTCATCATTACCAGAGTTGATAGGTGGCGGTGAAACAATAACGAGAAGGACTCTCTGTGTAATTTATTCAACCTTAGAATCGATTCTAAACACATAACTTTGCTTTTGTTCGCCAGCCTCCCTCGACATGGACACAAGAGAGCTATCCACATGGACACATATGTTAACAGTGATGGCACAGGATGCTGGGAGTCCCTTGCTGCACTCGAACACGACACTCGTTATACACGTGATTTCTAAGAACGAGTTCGCGCCAAGTTTTGCTTCCTCGGCCGTATCAGTCACAGTCAGTGAAGACATTGCTGTTGGAAGCTTTATTTACCAGGCACGCGCTACAGATGCCGACTTCGGTTCAGACGGTGAAATAAGATACAGTATCACCGCCGGAAACGACGACCTGAGATTCTTCATAGACGCTGTGTCAGGGAACATCACCACGGATGCCTCCTTGGATCGAGAGACGCAGCCAACCTATAGCCTAGAAATCACAGCTAAAGATCGTGCGACAGGCAACCGTAAGTCCGGCACCACCACTGTCCTCCTCAGCTTGATGGATGTAAACGACAATGCTCCGAGCTTTGCTAAGAGCTTTTACTCTCAGCTCGTGGACGAAGACATTACCATTGGCGATGAAGTGATCACTGTAACAGCGACAGATCCTGATTTTGAATCCAATGGGGAACTTGTGTATTCCATAGCAAGCGGCAATGAACGGGGTCTTTTCAGCATCGAATCTAACCAAGGTATCATACGCGCCGCCAAGAGCCTGGATCTGGAGACGCAAAACCATACCGCTGACCGTTCGTACCAATTGATCATATTTGTAAAGGACAAGGGATCGCCAGTAGAGCTCAACAATTCAGTGCCCTTGGCTATCACAGTACAGAGTGTCAACGAATTTACTCCAGCCCTGCAGCATGCTGATAACCAAGTCGTAGAATTGAGTGAGAACACCAGTATATCGACAGTGATTTTTGACGTCAATGCTACCGACGATGATTACGGAGGTGATGGCGTTCTGACGTACTCCATTACAAACGGCAACAGCCTGGGAACGTTTGCCATCGACCACGTCACAGGTAGGTAGTAATAAACAAGGTAAAATAGGCAAATAGTCAGCAATTCCGTCATATGCAGCTTCACTGAAGATTGTAAAATTGGGGAAATCACTTTTATTATCCAAGCGACAAGCACCGCCAGCATCGCAGTTAATTCAAATTTTATAACGTCAGCATGACGTAATAGGGAAACGTCCTATTGCTTAGCGGCATCTCTGCCGAGATTGCCGGTTCATTGTCGTGTCTGAAAGAGGCACTTTTACCATCATGCTTAACCCAGCTGTCATCTGAAAATTTATTGCTCATGATTTTGCCCTGTAATTTGAAAAGTTAGAGGTTACAAGATAATTTACCTTAAAAGCGAGCTAACCTCTTCACTAATCTTAGCATTTTGCATTTTTCAAGATTTTATCCATAATACCGAGGACTTGTGTCCACAATCAATGTGTCTTGAGCTTGATCTATACTCAATGAAAGTTTTTCAAACTGGTCAAATAACGTAAGATTTGGGAAGCGAAATTCGGCTTTGCTTTCGGGTGCAAAACTTTTATTAATGGACCAGACTTCTGGAATGCCGAGTGCATTGTTAATAAAAAATATGATTGCCACAATTGTTTCATTACAATCTTTACCAGGTGTCATCACGTTGGCAAAGGCGTTGGATTTTGAAACAATTAATCAGCACAACTTGGAAGTTACAGTTACCGATAACAGCCCGGTCAGTAGCAACAGAAAAACAATTACTACAAACCTCGAGATACAGGTACTTAACATAGACGACAGTGGAATGTACACCGCCAAGGCACGTTTGATCCAGTCATTCATTGCCTCGCCAATCAATCCAGCAGGTCTGGCTGGCATCGCAGATAGGTCTACATTGGAGATAATCCTGGTGTACGAGAATGGAACTGAAGTAGATATCACCATGAAGGGAAACCGTTACACACTGGATGATTTGTCGAAGTCCAATAACCTCTTCAGTGCTGTCAATAATGGCGTACCTTACGTCATAGCAAACAACGCGGGTTTGGCTGGAATTGGCAAACTCCTTGTTCACGTCACGAACGTCAACTCGGTCGAGGTGAATGTAACTGTGGTGGGCAGCAGCAACCTGGCCGTCAAAGCTGTTCCATATTCTGATATTCCCGACGATTCAGAGGTTATTGAGCTCAAACAAATTATCCCGGGACACTATCAGCGAATTTTACTCAAAGTTCTTCTTGGTTTGACAAATGGGCAAACCGTGGACGTTTCCACTTCGGCTAACACTTCGTTTGCTTTAACAAATGCTCAGCTAGTTGGAGGCACTTTTGAATTTGGACCCGCTCCGCGTAATCTCTTCTCCATCGAAGGAAGCGGCTTGAGCGGAATAGTATCATTGCAGGCAGAGTTTGCTCGTAGTCTTTCAGCAAGTGTTGATCTAACATTGTCTTCAACAGTCCTAAATACAGTTGCGATTATTCGGTTTGGCTTGGAGGGTGTCAACACGACACTGAGCGGTATTACGGGAACAACTGCATCCCCGTTTGCCGAGGTGGAAATGGAGGATGGATCCACCCATCTTATCAACAACTTCACCCGATACGGTGGTTTGGTTGGGTTCACCTCAAGCGACCCTGCTACCGCAAAAATCCATCCGTCCTCTGGTGTAGTGACTCTGGTCGCAGACAGCAGCAGTCGTGTAACCATAACAGCCACGCTTGTTGGGAACTCAAGCGTAACAAAAGACTTTGCAGTTTACTGCAACCTGGAGCCAAACGTTGGCGAAATTGATGTTGGAGCCAAAGAAGGAGCAGCTATTCCGTCACTAAGTGAAGGGGATACTTGGAAAATGCCGATCAGAGTAAACCCTGGCACTGTTGGAATCTTGGCAGTACATGTAGAGATTCAGTTCAGCACGAACGATTTGAGTCTAGATACAGTCACTACAGACCTCCCATACACAGTGCTTGGCAGTTCAATCAATATCTTCGGACCGCTGATAGAATCTAAGGCCCTGTCAGAAAATGTAGGAGAAGTTGCCTTTACATCTAAGAGAAGCGGTATTCCTCAAGTCGATGTTGCATTTTTCAGGACAGTAAATAAAGAGCTGTCACCGATACCACCTACAAACGTAGCTTCCCCTTGTCCTGATACGCATCTGGGTGATATCAACTTAGACTGCGCGTTTGACATTATAGACGTCGCTTTCATTAGTGGTTACATCTCTGCATCTTCGAAATCCCAATTCACTGAAGAGATGAAAGCGCGGATGGATGTTACCTGGAACGAGGCCATCGAGAATAACGACGCCATCTTCTTGTCCCTTATTTATCTGGAAAAGGCAAGGTTTGTGACAGAGCTTAATTACCATATTCCAAAATCAACGGATCGTTGCAGCTTAGAATTCGCTGTGAAACTGGCGAACAAAGATGGATCAGCGGTCTCGTCTCCGCAAACCGAGGTTTACTTTCTGTTTTCAAACCCTGGGCCACGCTTTGCTGCTCAATTTGAACAGACAAGTTTTACAGCAGGCACGAAATTAACCGTGGACGGGGCTTTATACGTAGATGGTCTGATCAAAGCTAGTTACGAAGGCGGAAAATACGTTATTGCAGCCATGGAATCCCAGCTGGAATATATTGATGTGGGCGTTTCCATCCTGCAAGAGTTGCCTTTTGATGGAATGAAACATGTCGTTTCAATGTTTCTCACTTCCAATCTCGTGTCTAATGTATCTGTTACTACCTGGGTTAAAAATCAGCCAAGCTTCATACCACAGCGCAAACTGCTAATCTCTGAGTCCACCGCAGAATGCAATGATCCACTTGTTATATTCCCTGTGGAAATAACTTTCCAAGGCGACTATGACGAGCTTGTCAAAGGGAGAGAAGCGCAATTTCAAAGTCAGTGTGAGATCAAGCTATCAGAGATGTACCCCGAGGCGACAGTAAGCGACTGTGTAGTAAGAAAAGGCAGTATTGTGGCTTCATTCAACATGACTGTGCCTGAATCGAAGCGGGAGGCCACGGTTGATAAATTATGGGAGGATGTGAAAGAAGGGCTGAAGTTCGAGTTTAATGGAGAAACGCTAACAACATTACCAATCATGAAAGTCGATGGTGAAACAAAGAAAGTCGAACCTGTGCCAGAAGATGAAGACCGCATGCCAGTTTACATCATCGCTGTTGCTTGTGTGGGTGCGTTTGTCGTTATTTTAATTTTTGTTATCGCATTGTACTGCGTGTGCCGGAAAAACAGAGAAGCCAAAATTAACCCAACACCGCCAGAAACCCCAGATGTTTACAGCGACAACGAGAAAGGAAAAGAACTTCCAAGCGCAGACGCCAAGTATGCTACGATGAGCAAGAGTGAAGCCTGGTCCGTTCAGAGTTCTACTGGCTCGCAAAGAAGTCTAAGCCAATTAAGGTATGCAACTCCGTTGGCGTTTACAGAAATCGTGGAACCAGCATTTGAAGAGAGAGAGGAACAGCTACCGGCGTTTGAGGTAACACTGCGTTTTAATTATGCCAAGTTAAATTAGGATACACTCTGGTGACTTGGTAGAGCAAATGTCGCAGCTGTTAAAATTTTTAGGTGGTTTTCTCTAAGTGTCGAAAGTAATCGGCATTTGCTCTGGCTTTGCATTATCACGCAAAGCGATTGGCTTAAAAAGAACTCGCGCCACTTTGTTATCCAATTACAAGTAAAACCAAAACCAATTGTGGCTCACTCGTACACGTTTTCTCGCGCTTTTTGTCGGCTACATGTATTTGCTTTACGTTTTAATTAGTTCAGCGGGTAGTCTGTGTCCTTTGTGATTTGGTTTTAGGTCTACAACATTCAGTAGAAAACAGCACTGCCCTTTTTTACCATTTTGATTACCTGCAGATCGCATATCAGCATTGTTAATAAGCACTTCAGTATTAGGAGATTTTCCGCGCAATTCCGCAGGATAACAAAAAGTTCCAAGTCAATTAATTTGACGAGCAGACATTTCGGGACCCCTTTTGCCCGTGTGTTTTTTTGCTGGACGCAGTGGCTGCTACATTCATTTCCAGTTTTCAGTTTGACGACTGTTGCCATCAAACTTGTTTTTCAATAGCTAGCTACAACTTTTCTGACGTTCTATTAACAGAATCAAGAGCGTGCGAAGAGAGACTCAGCTGATCTACCGAAGCCGGTCCTTGCATTTCCCGTCACGTCATCCAAACGGACCACACCGAATCCCTCGGCGAACACGAGCAGAAATCAGACACCAGTCGCCAGTTCTTCCGGCAGTTTACAACCGAGTGATCCTGGCGACGACTCGCCGACCCGTTTGGGCACTCCTAAAGTTGTTATTTCAGCGGCTGGCTCTCAAACTCGTCTCCAGTCCGCAGCCGAATCATCTGAGGGCACTGAAATGTTGGGAGATGGATTTGATGATTATGATGAAGTCGCGAGTCTAAGAGAAGAAGCTGTGTTGCGTCGAAGGGCGTCATCTTTTGACGCTGATCAGATGCAAAACATGCCTGGCGTTTTGCCGTTCACAGGTACTTCCCTTTGAGACGAATGATTCTACCGCATGCCAAGAAGTTAAAGCTATTCCTTAAACAGCAAAAAGCAGTCTAGTCGTAATTTTATCTTATCCGAGAAGCGTAATCGTTCCTAAATCAAACATCCAAGAGGTAAACTTACAACTTCATCAATACCTAAGGGTAAAGTGAGTCTTTAATCACATCCGAGGGTTAACGTCATCACTTCATACCCCAGGGGTAAAATCATTTCTAAATAACGTTATCAAGATAATTATCTTACAAATACCCGAGGAGATAGTAATTTCTTAATCATGTCTAATGGTAAAATAATCCGGATGCTGGGGATAACCCCTTCAATGCTGGGATAACCCCGCGATGGACCAGCATCGCATCCAGGGGGGAGTAGAAATACTTCTGGTCGCTTCATGTCAAGGAAACCGGAGGTAGGCGCCGGCCTGATAGGCTACTAGGCTCGTACGCAGGCTTTACTACATAGCCCAATAAAGATTTTTTTAATTATTTTTCTCTTTTATCCCAAAGATTCGACTAAGCAACAAAAGATGCAAGTGAAGGTTATTCGCCCCAATGCAGAGCTGGGGGTCGTCGCCCATATGGCAGGGGTTGTCAAGGTCAACCCATCCGGAACCTTAAACGAATTGCGGCAGGACATCAACCGCTCGTTGCCTGGATACCTGGGCTCAGCAAGATATCTGTTTATATCGCGCAAGTTTAAAATTATTGACCCTCGAACAGAATATCAACTGATTGTCTCCGGGGTTTACAAGAAGACTATCTATGTCAAAGTGTTCCATGGAGCAGGTGAGCCATTCATGTGTCTTAATTACTCAATATGCGCTTACAAAAATGAACAGCTACTTACATTTGTTGTGAGCAACATTCAGATGAAGGGCAGAGTGAAAAGTAAAAGATTTACCCCCCTTGTACGCCTTATTCCCAAGGTGATCCTCATTTCCGTTTTGAAAAACCCAGGAGGGTCGAGAAATAACTGATCCTGTGGCACGCATTTTGCTCACGTGGACAGCTCAAACGACTCACACGCGTTTGCTTCTTCCCTGGAAACATCCACACAACACGCGTGGTACTATTATCCGCGGGAGACCAGGGGAAAATATCTAAAAAATAACTGAAAAGGGATTACCTAAGCAAAAAGACCTGTATGGGGTACTAACTCTC